CAATGAAAATGAAAAATGCCTGTTTATTAAGCTTACACTATGGATGCTTACAAGGATGATGTATTGCTTTTATTCGCTGTACAAATTAAAGCTATGAATAATGGTTAATTATAAAGTAGAAATTTTAGGTAAGTCTTTAATTTTTAAATCAATGAATCTGGAGTCACAGAGGATGCTGGTATTCAGACAAGCCAACGTCATTTCTATTCATTGACTGCATCATGGTGTAGCAGGATTTACAAAGAAATCTATGAGTAAGGAGCGATTCTGTGTGAAATCTTTCAAGTGGAGCAATTACCATGGAAACCACTGAATTGTTTTCCTGACTGCACTACCTTTACAGCGTCTTTGCCCCAGTATCACTTTTACAAATGTCCCCATATAGTCTCAACACAGCACACGGTGCCTTAATCAGATCAACAAGGCATGGGAGGTGTGTCCCATTACATAGGTACAGCAATAAACCATTTTAGGTTCACTGTGTCATGTTATATCCTTTGACTTCCAGAATGGTCAGGTGATGTATCATCTGCAAGTAATATTTCTTAATGCTCATCAGTTTCAGGTTGTATCCCTTTTATTACCCACTCTTGACAGATGTGCTGCTTTTGAAATATGTTAATTAGGTTTGGCAGTTTGCTTATAACTTTACAAACAAATGGCCTTGGAAAAACAATATTATGATGGAGTGAGGCTGGATACAGGCATCTCATGGATTAGGTAAATGAGGTAACTTATTCTAGGTGATTGGTTACCATGGAGATATCCATATCATTGTAAGTATATATAGTATGCATCCTATTTGTTGTAAGTAGGTGATATCACCTATATGTAACCTAATGCAGATGTCATATAGCTATAGCTAGGACACAGAACCAGAACATTAGTTTAGGAAGCAATGCACATAGTCTATCATAGGACATGTGCCATCAATAGTATTCACACTGGGGGAATGGAGGCTCAATGAGCCAAGCTGTGACTGCCTTTGAGCTTTCTCCAAATCAGCTATTTTAGTGGGGTTTCAATTAACCCTTGCTATTGCAAAATCGGTCATTTTTATTCAGCTTAATTCTCTATAGCTCAGCTTATAAAATTCCTCTGAGACTTAATTATTGCTAGAAATGTAAATACATAAACTCGTGTACAAACCGAACGTGATCATTTCTGTAGAATTAACCCCCTCCCCTCCCCCAAAAAAATATTTTTTTCCTAAGGGAACTGTTCAATAAACAGTGATCTGTGATAAGTCTGCAACCCCAAATTGGCACCGTTATACAAATACAAATAGAATAATACCCTATAATTTAACATAAGTGGGTATTGTCAGAGTTAGTCATTAAAGTGTGTTGCAGGGAATGTAAAGTGAAAGGTAACACTTGGACCAAAATAGCCAAACCTGATCATTTCTCCAAATTATTATTTTTTCTTTAATTTCTGTGAAGCAAACAACCCTACATTGCTATAGAGAAAAACACTGCTATCAATCCATTAGACATTAGAATACAATGTATTATATTATTAATTAAAGTGCTAAGGTATCCCAGCATGACAACATGTGGTTTATTTATGGTGATTAGAGCATGAGTAGGGCTGAAGTAGCAGGAGGTGGTAAGTACTAATGAGATGATAAACTAGAGAACATTGAGTGTGTGTGCAGTGAGTCTGATCCCAGCTTGTTCTATGACAATTGGTATAGTAATCTGCTTGCATGTCTAGTCCCATCCCCACAACAGGAGTACAGAAACCGGTTGGCAACCATGACCAGTCAATGAATATTAACTGGTTTTGTTACATTACGACCATATTTACCAACAGAAACCGACCTCAGCTTTGCTGCTGAAGAATCACTTTAATTTTACGTTAATTATTTTTTTATTTAGGTGCTGTTAATCATGATGGATGTGTGTAGACTATAACACATCTTTTATTTATGCAAATTATTTTTTTTAAAAACCTAAAATTTCAGTAGTGCAGTAGAGCCATGCATTTCAGATAGCCACGTAGAATATCCCCAATAATTAATAATGATATTGTATTTTTGTTTCAATAAAAAAAATAAAAAAAACTCGTGCATATGAAACGGTTAGGTATTTCGTATGTTTTAAAAAAAAAAAAAAATCAGATTCTGAATATGTTGTGAAAATAAAGGTAAGAAATGTAAAAAGATATAGGGCAATTTTTAAATAAAGGGTCGAAAGTGTTCTTGTTTAAATATCAGCTTCAAAATTGTAATTGAGTATTTATTGAATTTGTAACACAGTCAAAATGCCCAAATATCCATAGGCGACTAATATTTATTCATAGGATAGCATTTATTCATAAAGACACCGAGGTGGCTATCCCTTTAATTACACGTGTATAACAAATGCATCTTGCAGGGCAGTCATGTTTAATGTAGCCATGTGCAATTTATGCCCCATAAGGGTGTCTAAAAATATGAGTCACCCTAAAGTATACAGTGTCACACTGCTAACCTATGCAAAAATGTACTATTATATTTATTTTTAATGTTAACTATCTGCAGAATATATACATACGTCGATTATTTGCAATGTATATGATTATTTATATATATATAAATTAAAAAAAAACATATACATTATATACATGCAAATTAATCGATACATCATTCTATTCTCAAATCTGACTATAATAATGATTTTATCGTGTAAGGGATAGGGGACAATCAACATGTTTCCTGGTGTGAAAGCTGCATTGTAGTTAATTCTAGTATTGCCTTGAAAATCTGCAGTACATCTAAAGTTTACAGACTGGAAACAGAAGCTGCTGTTGTGTTTAGATGATGAAGATTTTTTCTAAGAGTCTCCTTCTTTAATGAGTGTACACTGAGAGCTACCATTGCCATAAAGGGAAAGTGTGTACACACTGTACTGTATCCAGTAGAACAGCGCATCCCAAGCTTAGGGGTTGTACCTTTTGCTCAGGGATGACCTTGACACATGACTTTGACACATGAACTTCACAATAACATATTCTAGCGAACATGAAATGTAACCACTGCTTGATGGAATGGAGAAATTGACTGAACACAGCAGATCAATGATGAGACTAGCAGTTCAATCGCCTATTCCCAAAACTTCTTATTGTGTGTAAATATACAAGGGACCTGTTGTCCTTGACAATGCATTTAACCCATTGTAACATTTAAAGTATGATATGGACCCCCCCAGCCCCCCCCCTCCCCCATAGGCCCCTAGGCTCATTAGATGCCATTTCAGGTATCCATCAACACAATGTTAAAGCACAGCCTATTTATAGAGTTAATGTGTGCCTCTAATTCTTTCTTTTTCTGAGTGTGTGAAGGAATTCTAATGGACTTTTATATTTACTGCTAATGAAAATAGGAAAAGGGAGGGTGGGAAGTTTTTATGACTTGCATTTTAAAAGATTTAATTACAAAAAAATCCAATGCTGACTGTGGGATTCCTATAGAAAGAATCAATTAGTGAATATGATAACTATAATTATTAATCTACGAAGATCACCATAGCACCAATCAAAACTCTCACTGCTATGCTATGATAATAGTAATATAATAATTTGAATGATTGTAGCTTTATTAAGATTTGTATAATACAGAAGCTATATATGATTATATACTGCTGACTTTCCATATAGCTGTGAACAGTAGGAAAATGGCTATTTAAAATAATTGCTTTATTCAATTACATGTACTTGGCGTTCCTGTTAATTGTGTGTAACGTGTTTTGGGGATTTGTATTTAACTCCTCTTTTTTATTATTTAATTGTTTTGTCTGCACTTTGTGTGTAATTTTGTTCATTTTTCAGCCAGTTGTACACATCCCAGGAAATGAAACAATTGCATCTTGTTCCCGCACAGACATCTATTTTGGACTGAATTCATAAATCATAGGGTGGACTTAATTAGGGGATTTGATTAAATAATCATGGTAAGGATGAAATCGTGCAGCAATATGAGAATGCACTCTACCATGAAACTGTGATATAGAAATCAGTGATTTTTTTTCCACCCCAAAATAATAATAATAAAAAATAATGTGTACATTATATCTCAACTTCCTCCAAAGACGTTTGTACGCTTATTATACAATCTAAAAATAAAACCACACAAAAACAATATTGATTCAAACACAACTTTCCCAATAACCTGCAGGTGAAGTAGAAAATAATTAACCAATAATAAATCAATTTAAGATATGATGACTAGTCATTGAGTCATGATTTATTGATACAATTATTTATTTTAAATGTATAAACATTACACATTCTCACACTCCCAGTGTCTTCTTATAAGTTCCAGCACAAAAGCAGATGATTTTTGCAAATAATTTCAATTACATGTAAAAGCCATTAAAAAATAATTTTAAAAAATCTCAGCAGACCACAGTCACTGTGTAAAAAAATATGTCTCATATAAAAATACATCAGTGGGGACTAATCAGCTAAACTCCTTTTTGTCTGTTTTTTTTTTTACCCACAATATGTCAACATGCAAATCAGACATAGTAAATAAATATTATGATCAATTATCTGTTTCGATTGCCTCCCCCTGATAGCCACTTCACTAGAGCCATTACAGAACAAATGACACAAGACAATCGCTATTAGCTCTGGTATGTGTTACTCACATTGCTCCTAAGACTCTCTGGACAATGAGACCAGCATTCCTTGACTTTGTAAGGTTTATATGTTTACTGCAGTGTAGAGTTAAAGAATGCAGATACCTGGCCATTGTTGTCCCCTTTCCACCCCCCTTTTCTATCATAGCTTTATTTGCTTTGTTAATGCTATTTTTTGCTAGCTTATTTCCCTAAATCAAGGTACAAGGATGCCAAATAGTGATGAAATAAGAAGAAAGCCAATTGCTGGGCTGAGGTGGGGGATAGCTGCTATGAATCCGCCTGCAACTGTGGAGCACTCAGTAATTGCTGGAGACAGGGAGAGCTGGGGGTTGGGCTGAGGTATCCTTGTATAAATAGTGTGATCTCAAATTGAAAGGCATAAATAACAGCAGGAGTGATCTAACCCTATGCAGTTTATCCTCAACGTAAAAAAAGAGAGAGAGAAGAAAAAAAAAAGAGAGAGAGAGAGAAAGAAAAAAAACAAAAACGCTTCCAGGGGGGAAGTGTAGATCTCCTAGTGAACACCAAGTGGATCTCTCTGTGGATAGATACTGTAAGATCACCAGGCAACCATGGAAGAACTTACAGCTTTTGTATCCAAATCGTTTGATCAAAAAAGCAAGGAGAGCTGTGGCAGTGGTAGCAACAAAAAGGAGTCAATCACGTACAGGGAAGTTTTGGAGACTGGCTTGGCTAGGGCAAGGGAGCTGGGGAACTCTGATTCTAACCTCCAGGACATTACAGAGAACAGCAACCACTGCCCTCTTCATCTGTTCAAAGAGCATGGGGACAGTGACAAGGACAAACTGAAAGATTACAGCACTGGAAGGGTCTCGGAAGGTAAATAAACAGTAGATCCCCATCACATGGATGACCACTAGCATGCCTTTTACAATGTTGCGTTATTGTTTTACATCCACAGCGTAGGTCCTCAGACCAGGCGAGCAAAGCAGGCAGAATTCTAGGGCTATCCAGCGATTAAAGCAGTGTTTCGCTGACTTTTTATTCCACCTAGGAAAACACATTTATCCTGATGCTTTGTAGCTCTTTCGATGGATACACACAGACAGACACACACACACACACACACACACACAGACACACACACACACACACACACACAGACACACACAGACAGAGATGGTTTAGGGAAACATGCATGTTCTTTATTTTAATAGTAATCTTAGAAGATTGTTGTTCAGATGTTTTATTTATTGCAGAAAAATTAGAAAGCGAAACTTGGGCGTCCATTTCTATATATTTTTTATTAACTATGTGCTAAAAGGGTTAATCTTACGTGAGATATCGTAGCCCGGATGCATGCACACACTGTGAACGGTTTCATCGCATTCATTTGTGAATTGAAAACAGGAAACGGTCAGACTGTAGATTTAAAATATTTAAAAAAAATTCAGAGAAGATACATTAGCTAAATTGTACCATTCTTTCCATTTTTACTTGGGTTCTCGAATGCAGGAGTAGTAGGGAATGTGTTTGAGACAATGTGTGTTTCTCTTTGGTTTAATACAGTGATTGATAAATAAATAACCAAGCTCAACGTGCTGTAAGGCTGGCATTAATAGGAGGTGAATGTAGAACAAGCAATGTGTGTGAATGTCAGAGGGTATTGCTGGGCCCAATGTTACCCAGCCTCAGTCAAGCAGGGTGACACAGCCCCATGTAACTGCTACAGTGTGTGTGTCTGTGTGTCTGCATGGAAAGGGAGGGGGGCAGATAAATGGGAAAGGCCCAGAAAGTATTTTTTTTTTTGAGCAGGCCAAACAGGTGTCTGATCTTTCAAATTGCAGTTCTGACTATTGCGTTCTATCAGGGAAACATACAGCGAGCACTCTGAATAACATATGGCTGAGGAAGGGGGGCACAAAACGTTTTCATCTGGTGTGACTCAAGGTGAAACTAAATTAAAAACAAAACGTTTGAGAGATGAATGGATTGTCCACGAATGAGCTGGAAATGGAATGTTAATTATTGTGAGAACACTGGATGTTTGGAACCAGTTCTATCTATCCATATCGATCCATTTATTTGAATATTTAATTTCTGATTTTACATCCCTATGTTATAATGAAGAAGGGGATAGCTCTGAGTTCAGGGTAATATTTGATATATTCCGGATTATATTACACATCTAAAATAATCCCATCCCTAGAAATCACAGTTTCCATTTATTTACTAGAACATACTGTAGGAATGAAGTCATAACATCTTGCTGCCCTATCTTATTAAGCAGAGATTAAATGCACGATGAAAGGTCAATTTTCAAAGTAGGAATAAAAAAAGAAACCTGCATATTTTCATTGGGACAGTGCAATGGAAGAAAACAAACTGAACACACGTGTTTTTAATAAATATAATGTTACAAAATAATTGTTACAGTATGCAACATTGTATTTTGTTTTCTCAGTGTACAAATACCACGAGGCTTTATTTTCAACATGTGAATGCTCTAAACAAATAGAGCTCAGAAACTGTGCATTGCAGCCTCATTAAATAATGAATTGTCAAGATTTGTCTCCCAAGTCCATTTCTTCTAGGATTTCCGAATCTTTGTTAGTGTAGCCACTTGCATGCATACTTTTCAGCCTAACTGCAAATGTAATAAAGTTTAAGTGTACTTGAGGAACAAAAGGATTATTTCATGATTAAAACTTCATAGAAGTCCTCTATAAACACATGGAAACGATTATACATCCATTTTCTTTACAACCTTTGCAAAGTTAATTTTATATAATGGATTACACCAACTTGAGTGCTTTTCACTCCCCATGCGTTTCTAATAATAAAAAAAACAAAAAAAAAAACAAAAAAAACAACAACAAGTATGGTAATTGTCATTTTTAAACGTAATTGTGGCTACAGATTAATGTATCACATTCACAGATTAGCTGACAGTCACAGCCACATGATAATCAGATCGGGTTTATAGCGTCGAGAAAGGCGAGTGCTTACATTTACTATTTATGAAAAAGTGGTAAAATTAATTGGGCTTTTAATAGGAGTGTTGGGTTTTTATTTATTAAAAATAATTTTTCATAACACGATAATTCGAGATCTAGTTTACAAAATAAACACAAATTAAAATATATTCCGCTCTTTAATTAATTTTACAAAAGCTCTGTTGAAAAAAATATCTATATCTGTTTTGTATGGCTATTTTTTTTTGATAAGGTAAATAAAATAGTGTGTGTGTGTGTGTATGTAAATGTATATGTGTATATATATATATATATATATATATATATATATGTAAATGTGTGTGTTTGTGTGTGTGTATTTATATGTATGTATGTGTATATATATATATATACACTCACATTTGTATTTAATGTTTGTGTGTACATGTATATAAATATATCTCTTATGATATGTATATCATATATACACACACACACATCATTATGATTTACAGAGGTTCACACTCCTCTAAGAACAAGTATTACTATCCATTTAATTGTTCTGCATGTAATCAGTTCCTTAATTTCCATTTCATTTATTTGCTTAATATATGTGTGTAGCATGTTTTATCTCACACGTTATAAAAAGAGCGTTGTTATTTTAATTCTAATAACGCGCCAGCATAGTACACAGCGCTGTACACTGGATGCACTGTTACTAGGCAATAGGTTGATGAATGTAAATGTACCGTTTGTAATATATTGAAAAAGCCACAATCACAAGTTAAGTGAACGAGTGCGGTATTATTTTGCTGCTAATCCATTTATCTTGCACGATAAGGCATTGTAGGGGAGTTTGCTGCTCCATTGACTGAGCTGATTATCTTTATTAAATGTTATTAAAGCAGATTCACACAAGAGAAGCTCTGTATATCTGCATTCAGTGGCTGTGCCATTGATCACTGTATCCTGGCTTCTATAGAACGCTGCTGGAGTCCCAGAAATCGATTGGGAATACATTATTACATATCTGTTAGTTCATGAAATACATGGAGGATAAAAAGTAGTTATTAAGATCACTGGCATCTTCCCACTGAAGCAGAATCAAGTGACATCGATCATTTCTCTAGAGTCACAGGGAAATATATGGCAAATACACCTTGTTAATTGAAGTTCATATGTTGGGTCATTTATCAAAGGGTTTCTACACTTATTGCACGAAGAGGGAATAAAAAAGCCACATTTATCAAAGAAATACCCCAGTTTGAAGCAATGGGGGATTTATTTCATAAAACTATTACGGGAGCTTTTGATAACTGGTCCCTACCAAGCCATGGAATTAATGAGCCTGTCTTCTCCCCCTTGGCAGGGATCTATGAGTGCAAAGAGAAGAGGGAAGATGTGAAGTCTGAGGATGAAGACGGACAAACCAAGCTAAAGCAGAGGAGAAGCAGAACTAATTTTACATTAGAACAGTTAAACGAGCTTGAAAGACTGTTTGACGAGACTCACTATCCTGACGCCTTTATGAGGGAAGAGTTGAGTCAGAGGCTTGGGCTGTCTGAAGCCAGGGTCCAGGTAAGACTAGTGCTGTGACTGCCACTCTCTAGATCTCGATCTGGGTCTGGAGCATGTGGATAGGGGGTTGGTTACTTAGGGCTTGGAACACACTAGCAATCGGTATAATCAGAGCTGGTACCTGGGGGCAAAGCAATATTTTTGTCTGTAATAATAACAATCAATGGCACATGTCCTGCTTTATAAGAAAACAAAGATAAATGAGTTTTGCTAGACTTTGAGGATCTCTGCTACACAGTATTATTTTGGAAACATATATTTTGTTCTTAAAAAAAAAATATATGTGATTATATATATTTATATATGTTTGTGTGTGTGTATATATATTTGTGTATGTGTGTGTGTGTGTGTATGTATATATATATATGTATATATATGTATATATATATATATATATATATATTTCACATGTATCTATCCATTTTTATTTTTATGTATAGATTTTCATATTTATATATATATATATATATATATATATATATATATATATGCACACACACATCAATACATTTTATACATGTTTTTCATATATATATATATATATATATATATATATATATATATAAATCTATACATAAAAATGTAAATGGATAGATACATGTGAAAAATATATTAATTATTCATATATAAAAATGTACTCAATACACCCATTTATGATATAAAAAACACATATTTAGGACCAGAAATACATCTGAAATATATACATAAATACATAATACATGGCATATTTTTCACTACTTAATTATTAATGTTTTCAGTTATACATCCATAATAAAGGGAGAATTATGCTACCAGCTTAAAAAAAACATTCTGGCAGCAAATGCACATGTTGTCCTATTAGTTTGCAGCACAATATCCCACCTTATGTCGTTGCCACCACAGAATAAAATAGGCCTCTTTAAAGGTTATTTGGCTGCTTTGGGGCTGGATTATCATGAGCCGGGGGTAAAGGTGCCCCAGATGACCTGCTTGACAGCCATATGGATTTATGACATCCAAGTCTACCCCATCTGCTCCCTTACTGCTCTCAAAGTGCTAGAAACACAATCCTGAAAATGATTATTTAGTCAGTAAAACGTATTTACGAGCTTTTAGCTGAACGGTCAACCTTTATGACAGGACACATTGAATTAAATCTCTATTAGACTGAACTTTTCCTGTCTAAATATTAATCGATTACATAAACAATTCATGGATGGCAGAATTAAGGCAAATAACCAGAAACGTATCCGAATGGGAGGGGAAATTTTATTCATTTAATAATCAAATATTTCATATACACTATATCAAAAACCTGTATGAGAACATAATTTACCTGAACTAACCTGACCAACTGTGTGATATTTATATATACACATATATATGTTTGTATGTGTGTATATATATATATGTGTGTGTGTGTGTGTGTGTGTGTGCATATACATGTTTGTATATGTGTGTGTGTTTAACTAAATAAAAAAAATAACCATCCAAATGTAGTTCGTAATCGTGTGTGTGTATGTCTATGTCTATATGTATATATATATATATTATATACATGAATGCATACATATAAACGTGTGCATATTTATATTCATTTTAATGATATAGGTGAAGTGCACGAGTGCTAATATATTAATAGAATAATATTATCTGGAGAGATATGCATATTTCTATAAATTGTATATCTGTAAAAATTAAATATTGATATTTGATTACAATATTTAACTCTTTGGGTGTCAAAGGATCTCACTCACTCCCAATATGGCGTGAATATATATTTATATATATCTTTCCTCTATGTGAAAGGTTGCACAGTCCAGATGTTGGTATTGGCTGGATGTACTAAACACAGTTAACAAGTAAGATTGGTCTAACCGCGCCACCCAAATTAACGAAAAGAGGGGAAAAAATATAAATAAACTTTTTGCTGAAGGGGACATCAACTTTTATGTCATTTCCATTTTTGATGGTCTGTTTCTATAATATCTTCCAGTGCACTGATGTAGTGTTTCTATAAAAAAACAAATTACTTGTAACTTAATTCTGCATCCCCCTCATTATTGCAGAGTAGCACCTTCACAGGATGTTGGAAGTTGCAGAAAATTGCTTCTTAAACTACTTTCAGATCATGAAAATCTCAGCCAAAAAAAAAAAAAAAGAAAATAAACTCTATATTGATTCAGGTGGGGCTTGCAAAAAAAAGCAGAAAAGTCGTGGGAGCTAAAAAAAAATATTTGTTTGTATTAAAAGCAGTTTGGATTTTTTTTCTTTCTTTACAAAATAAGGAAAAAAAATATTATTTTTTTTTCAAATGATTTTTTTTCTTTTGTTAAAAAAATGAAAAATCCCAACTGTTTTTTTTTTTTTTTAAATATATATATATTTACAGGCACACTTGTTGAAGCCAGAGAGAGACACATGTACCACTTGGATGGTGGCTTTAACAAAACTCCTATCAGCACACACTGTCCTTGTTGTTAAAGGATACAGTTTCAATTTAGAGTGGAAATTTGCTGTAAATAAATTGATGCTTCTTTGCTGCCTGGTCCTTATTAACCTTTTATTTTTAGCGTGTCCTGGAACCTCATACCAGCCAGCTGTCAGGGTTATAATTGAAAGTTATGAGAGCAGAGTGAAGAGCAGCCCTGCAGTAATTCAATTACAAGGAATATCTCTTGGTTTACGGCGCAGAGCTAAATTAAATGTCATTATTCACTGTCTCTAATGGAAATCAAAAGGAAATCAGATTAGGGGTATTTGTGAAAGAAATCACTGAGTGATCCGTAATGAAGAAATAACTATCTTAAACAGTGTACTGTGCTTTACTTAGCATATCCCTGCCTAATTGGAATTGATCGTGAATATCGCCCAAGCCTGATTTATTATTGCTTAACTCGCTAGCTAATTCATCACCTTTATTTCTCATAACTTAATTACTAAACATTACTGAGAGATAACCCGCTTTATATCGCAGGAAATTTTTTTTGGTGTACACAGCTCTACGGTGCTGTGATGGGATACATATTGAAGATACATTGTGCAGGGTTCCAAAATGTGTCCATTCCCAAGTGATAGAACCCTCACTGATTAAAGGGGCAGTATGCTCAGTTATTACTGTTTGAAGATCCACTCAACTCAGAAATTTAGTGAATTAAAAAATGTAAAAATTTCGGTTAGAATAGCCAAACTATGAAGGAGTAGGGGAATATTTGTAGATTAATTAGATTATCATTTTAATTCGCTTCTATTCTGAGTTTACTGAATGGCCCCAGTTGAATGTATTTTGAGGATGTGCCAGAGACCCCAATATCACGCCATGTTGCGATGGGGTCACCCAAAGCTTTGTATGAATGTGACAGGCAGGGTCAGGTCTTGCACACAGATCCATTACCCATTACAGATCCAATTTTGCAACTACTAATCCAGTAAGACTAGCTTTACCAGGTCAAACGTATTTTAAACTTTTTTTTTTTTATGGCTGAGCATCGTGAGAAGTCCAGTTCATGCACGTTTGCAGTACAAGCCCTAGCTATCCCTGAGCTTGTCCTCTACCTTTTTGTCCAGCCCCATCACAAATCTCCTGTGGCTGGTAGGTCACGTGTGGGGGCATGTGGGTTACCTAGAAGTGTGCTTGGGGTCTGTAAACTGCCCGGGCCTCATTCACATTGCTTTAATTGAGCCCCTATCAGTATAAAGCTATTCACTAAGAATGCGATGCGGAGCTTAGGACGTGATGTTACATGCAGTGAGCTCAGTGCAGTCCTGGGCTGGATTATAAATGCCCGAGCAGACTTGTTTTGCACTAATTACTGGCTTGTAAATGGCCATCATTAAGGCAATTGAATAAGGCAATGCATAAAGCACATCCAGCATTAATTAACCATGTGATCACTTAACAAGCACAAGACACCTTCAATACAAGGGAAGCTTACTTACCCTTAGGATTCACCATTATCGATTCATTGATTGTGGGCTTTATTTACAAGAGAGGCTATTAAAATATTGAAATCCTTAAAATATTGAATTGCTAACAGTATATAAATGTCAGTGCTAAAAGTAAACACAGTATGCAGGTATTAGATGTAAATGAAATAAGCCAGTAGCTTTGAATAATTGCAGATCCTTCTATTAAGGAGCCAGCCTCTATTCGTTTGGTATTAATATATAAATATTCATAAAAGATGGGAGGAGCTGGAGTTGTTTGTATTAACTGCTTATAAAAAGGATATGGAAATCTGACGGCTTTGCTGCGATGGACTCCAAGTCCCATCACGCTTAGCCAGACAGTTAAGAGCGTGCTCGGCGTGATGAGAGTTAAAGTCAGCATCTGCAGACGTTTTGAAAATGTAATCTAGGAGCAAGTTTGTAACGATAGATATGCTCAACCCTCATTTTTTTAATTGATCATTTTATTTCTAAAAAACAAAAAACGTTTAATAAATGTCTGTAAGTATCCAGGTAAAATGAGAAATTTTAGTTTATGCAATAAATTAAAACAAACAAATATATTTATAGCATCTGTACATACCTAGAACAAGACTGGACTACCTGTATACATCACACTCAAGGAGAATATGTAGTGTTCCTTTGGGAGTTGTGATCATTAATCAATAGACCATAATAGCCGATTATGAAATGTTATCTATTTCTAAGGTCTATTCACTAAACAGTTTGTTGTGCTGCGTTGACTAAAAAGTCAAAATTTTGGAATTAAAAAAAAGTGTTTTCAAGCTCACTTATCTTGGCCTTTATTTTAAAGTTGCCTTTAGATTAACTGTAATTCACTGCTTAGTAAATTACCTCCCATAGGCTACATTGGTACCTTGTTTGGAAAAGGCCAGATTAATCTCATGATTTGTTTCAGCATAAATAATAGCTTCCTGATCAGCACTCAACTCATGGCTTAACATTTTGTATGTCAAATTAATATTAATAAATTACACTGTTTACACTTAGTATATAAATATATCATATTATTTAAAAAACAATATATATCATATACATGATTAATATATCTCACACGATAAAGTATTTGGAATTAATTTGAATTAATATTCAGTAATATTGTAAATAAATATTATGTAAGCAGCAAGATTTTAACCAGGATATTGAAATCAGTAAATGAATTCAATATTTTTTTATGCTTTTTGTGTTTCCTTTAGAATTAATTGCACCAGTTCAAATTGAAAGCTTCCCCACTATAGAAATATACCTATATTTGTTTAAAAAATAAATTAAAAAATGATTATTTATATATATATATATATATATATATATATATATTGCACACTTGCTATGAACAATTTTTTTAAATTTTTTTTAATATTTTACTTTTTTTCATAATACAGCCACTAAATGCACTATTTAATAGGTCTGGCAATGCCCAAGCTTCCTGTGTAAGCTCTGTTACAGAGTCAGCTCTGGGGGATCTTCCAGAGTAACAGAAACTACAAGCTGTTTTTAGGGATGCACTTCCCATAGATATCAGGGACATGGCTTGCATTGCTGAATACTGTGCAGCTGCTCAGCCCTTAAGTCAAGAGGCCTTGATACATATCTACTGATAAGTAGTCTTTTCCATCTTACTCTAAGCAGGTTCTAGGATATCATACTGTGGAGTAAGCTTGTGAGAAAGGATAGAAGGCCATATTTGAGCCTTAATCTAATTTTACCTTCGATAAAGTGTCATTAGTGCTGTAAATATTTTATTTATTTTTTTATTTCATCAACTGATGACCAATAACACATTATCATTTTATATACAGGTTTGGTTTCAGAACCGAAGAGCAAAATGTAGAAAACAAGAAAATCAAATGCATAAAGGTGGGTATGGTGAGTACCCAGTTGAACACTTTTATTACAATTATCTCATTAACTCAAGGTCGACATCAGTCACCCAGCTGAAAAACTGTAAATATTGTGTAATTAAAATAAAAAATAGCATTGGCAGTGAAAATGAAATGATAAAACTTAAATTAAGCTATTTTATTTTCGAGTGTATCTATGGCTACAAATTTTATTAAATTCAGGGCATACTTGAAAATTAGGAGGATCTAAATTTATCCTTCCTGCATTAATTTTAGAAATAATTCTTATTAATTTGGCATGCCTGCTAGCAATTTCTGTATTCTCCATTGAAATAAAATGACGTAAAATATAAACAAACATTAGACTTTTTTCAGTTACAGCAAATGCTGTCCGCATAGTATATGGTTCTTTCATCCCATCCTGCTCTATACATTTTACTGAGCTGGGGTTTAGGCTGGTCATAGCGGTTCTTGCCTTTAAGTAAATATATGAAGGTCAATGGGTCATTCATTGATCTCTGGACAATCCATTGACCTCCATGTATTTACTTAACGTGTGATCTCTTTCACTAGATCACATCCTGAGAGGCCTGGATGGGGAAAAGTAACACCTTAATGTCAGTTTACTCAAACTGCGGAATAATGAGTTTATTTAATAGGTTAACTACAAAGCAAAATAAATGGAACAGAGGGGAAACAAATATTGTAGAAAAGCCACTGGTCAGAAGTGCCAAGCAGTGTCAATTTTCTGACGGAAATTAAACGTTTTTATTTTTTTTATTTTTTTTTTAAGTCACACAAAGCTTTTCTATTACGGCAACATTAGACATCAAATAGCAAAAATACTGACATTCAAATCACGTGCAAGTAAAGTGTAAAATATTTCACTCCAATACTCTTTTCAAATTAAAACAAGTTGGCATTTTTCACTTTGTTGTAAAACATCTTTAAGCGGTTAAAATATAATTTGTAGCGACAGGTTCGTGTATCTTATACTAATATTCTTTATATTAAAAAAAAAAAAGTTGTGTAAAGAAGACTTATCAAGTACCTTAAATATCAAATTATCTAATATATCTTAAGGAAAGTTATAATGCATGAGTTAGCTTGTTAACGGTCCTCTACCAAAAGCAAGAATTGAATATTATTATTATTATTACTATTTTATTATTTATATAGCGCCAACAAATTCCATAGCGCTGTACAATGGGTGGACTAACAGACACATAATTGAGATAAGACCACTGACGTATGAATTTAACAGGTAGTACTCCTGTTTTGGTTTAATAGGCGCTATCCTAGTATGTACAAACATCATTTGGTATGAAATTATAATTTTAGATTATCTTCATGATAAAAGGAAAAGTATTTGGTCATGCAAATACTTTAAAGACCATAATATAAATATCTTTCTTCTTGTATACTCCCCAGTGTCATTGGCTTCTAAATGTTAACAATTTAGAAAAAGCCTTGCATTTTTCTATTAAAGCAGTTATATATATGGAAGGCTTGCATTTTTCAGCTAGAAGACTGATTAGTTGATCCACACATTATTCATGTATCCCATTATCACATGACATCCCAAGTAACACGCTATATTCTTTTATAATTCCAGGTGTTATTCTGGGAACGGCGAGTCACTTAGAAACTTGCAGAGTTGCTCCTTATGTGAACATGGGTGCACTGAGAATGCCTTTCCAACAGGTAATTTATTTTATCATCATCCTTTATGTTCTGAATGTGAGTTATACATATGCTTGTCAGTTATTGCCATGTTCAAATCTGTTTATTTCTACATGCATTTTTAGAAAAGTATTTCCATGTTTTGTGTAACAGTGACCAGTGTAAACATTTTAACCCAACTCCCTATTTGAACGCAAGTCAATTAAAATTAATGAGATGTCAAATGACATATTTGAGACTGAAAGAGGAAATGAGGCCTAGAGAGGGAGCCACACACATACACAACTATTTTTGAAATTTTTACATCTCATTTACAATTTTCTTTTTTAAATACCACAAGTATTCACACTGCAGTATGAAAGTGATTCGAATAAGTTTATTTTTACTTGTACTTTATAAAAGTAGTTAAACGCCGTGTGTTATAGTGAGCAGCGCAAACATTTCAAGCTAACTCCCTATTCGAAGATAAACATATTAGTTAAAAGTAATGCGATTTGAATTGGCATGTTTGTTACAGAAACAGGAAACTAAGCTTAGGGAGAGAGGGACACACACATGCATGCACGAACACACACAATTAAAAAATATATATATTTTCTTACTGACAACATGTCTTTATATATTATTCAGGCTGTACTATGAATGCGATTTTACCTATTTGCCTAAAGTCATGCTACTGCAGTATTTTGCATGGTCTTATGCCAACTGAACTGAGAAAACAGACCAATTAGATTTCTAATTTTGCCCAAACTCTCTATTTCATTTATCAGAAAAGTATTATAAATTTAGTGATGGTTTTACATCACTTTACTTTGTGCTTTTTATCTGTTGCCGTCTAATTTTGCCTTAATATATGTTTATATAATGTCAAAAATAATGCAGCATATATCTGATGTAGATTTTAGAATGCTTTTTCTAGGTAATGTAAATATAATGTACACGGTTATAGATCTATATAGTATAAATCGGGCTCTTTCGAACTTTTGGTGACCCAAAAGCCTCTTGACAAAGCTTGTGTGTGCAGTTACATTGCTACATAAAGTTTGCACGGAGAAGAGAGCAAATGACTGGTGTACATGTGGTTATTGGACAGATGTCCAAAGCAAATGTTTTGAATCATATTCATTTTTCTTGGGCCATTTCAGTTAGATTTTATGGATGAAAATGTAGACAAACATAAGTGTCCCATGACAAATTTGCACTATGCCACCCACAACCGTACGAGACTTGGCGTGCATATTTTATTTCTCTACTAGACAGTGCCCTGCATATATTATCGCTCTAGGTGGGTTGGATGTACAGGGACTACTAGTTCTGCTAATATTAAAGCTACATTATGGTTATATTCAGAATCCATGGGAATTAGGAATATGGAATACGTAACGTAATGAATGTTGCAAATCTTTCAATACTGAATATAAGTAATTTGGTAAAGCAGTATCGCTTTTTTGTGGGTTCATATGGATATTGACAGAATACGATCTTGCGTATCTGTAATGTGTAAGGTGGATATTTTTTCAATTCTGTATTATCGTTATTTGTATAGTTATGCGTGCAAATATATAAAGTGCAAATCAGTATAGGGATGATTGAGAGTGTTAACCGCAAAAATGCAACCACATGATGATGCAAGCGATACTTATATGAGCAAAAGTATAGAAGCGCATATTATTACTATTAGTAGAGCCAGTGCAATAAATTCAAGAGTTGCAAGTTCTCTGATTAACCGAAAAATGTCAGGAGACCTCAATAGCACACTTTGGGGGGGGGGTTACTGTATATGCACATAATTTTGTAAATGTAAAATAAAACATTTGCGGGTAAAAATATTTGGCGTTATTACAATTTTTTTTGTTACATATTACATTGCTTTTTGTTATAAATATGCATGCTAAGTTAATGAACAGTTAACCTACATTTTTTTCACCAGAAGGCCTATTTTTAAAAAGCCTAGTAATGACCTTAGTAAAAACACATATATAAGTGTGCCATTTATTAACATTGTCACTAGTGAGATAAAATTTAACAGCTAAAAGGCATTTTAGTCCATAAAGATCAAGAATTTATACTATTTGGTGACTTGATTTTAAGTACTGGCAGGATGGCACAACATTTTACATTTTCTTATATATATGCTGAAGAATACCACTAAATCTTTAATTTTAAACTCTCAAAATTAAACATTGCTATACATATATCATAAATCGAGGAAAAGAAATGTGTGTGTGTGTGTGTATATATATATATATATAGTTCCTATTCTAAGCACCAATTTTGTGTTAAAAAGTATAGCTATGTCCCTCGATACATTGCCCCATAATTAAAGAATATTCCGAGATGGGATAGAATTACTGCAAATTGTTAGTGAAGCTATAGGAAGGAGTAAAAAAATAATCATGTTACAATATTTTAGATTTCTATACTCTATATTAGTTTATTTTGGACTATATTACCAGGAAGGATCTGCAATGTATAAGGAACAAGTTAATACATTTCCATCAGGCCCTCATTTTATACTATATCAAAAATGTTTAGTTTTTTTAAAGGCAGTTACATTTTATAAAATGCTCTAATAAATTCATATTCCTGCTGCTTACTCAACTTTTCGTCAATCCCCTATTCACTGCCCAGTACTCGAATTTTCTTTACACAAGCTAAGTTCAGTTTAGTAACAGAATTTTACCCTTTTCCTCTAACATTTTAAAGGAAGTTGAACAAATCTTGACTGTATGTGGTTTAATAAAAATCATAATTTTGCACCTATTTGTTGTGTGTGAAAAGTCACAGTAAGCAAATCATTCAGTTGGTGTAACTATTATACATCAGCCCTTTTAGTTGAAAATTTGGGTGTCTTATGTTGTAGCCAAAGGGCCTACCGTTATTATAGCTAGCTAACATTTTAAACATATTTTTGGATTTATCTTGATATTTTTTAACACAGGGTTTTGTAAACATTGAGTACATTTATTAAAGGCAATGTTATTTATTCCTTAATAGCAGTTGTATTGATAACATTTTTGTTTGGTTTTAATTAATGTGCTGCAAGTCAGTTGATGAAATCTAATTGGTTATTCACTAAACAGTGCTGAATTGAGAACTGATTTGCAAAACGATTATTTTTGTAATATTTTATGATTATCCTAGCGCAGCCTTTTTTTTTTATAAATTAAACTGAGAACCAAGAAACAAACAGTTATATGTCAAGATACTCTTTTAATTTGTTATCGAAAAGGATCATAGCATAATAACGTACATGTCATTAAATATTTCTATTTATGCACATTAATCCTATGTGATTGTAGCATCATTGCCACTTGAAATTTTAAATAAATACCAATCCTCTGGAAAAAATAAATAAAAGAAAAAGCATTCTTATACACATTTCATATCTTCCTTATCTTTCGTGCAATTAACAATGTAAGTGACAACACAATAGGATTAAAGTTTGTGGTTGGCATGAAGTATATTTCACAGTTCTCTAGAAAATAAATAAGGCAATAATTGCAAATACATGTACCAAAATTAAATACGTCCAACAAAATGAAACAAGTTTTTATTAATATTTCAAAGTCCATAGAACTCAGCAGAGCAATTACTGTCAAAAAAGAGAAACAAATAAATTAAAGAGCAAAAAAAGTCATGAAGTCAACAAAGTTATTTTAAACTATTTTTGAGTTCTACAATGGAAAAATGCATAGCAACACTGCTCATAGAAAAAATACTTCAATATATTACCATTTAAAAAAAAATAATTTAAGCTTTATGATTGTTTGCAGTAATACAATTAACAATATTATGACAATTATTATATTTTTACTCTGGCAACATAGTTTGCAAAAAATACTACAATATGTGAATGCAGGCCGTAATAATTAATCAAAACGACGTAAGCTAGCACTAACATCTTTAATTATGAAAAGTGAAAAAAATAAAATAAAATAATTCGCGAGCAATATTTCTTAAAGTACTTCTCTGCAGACCACTGTTTATGACCCATCCTTTGCCAGTGTGCGCAAGTCCCACAAATGTTGCTGGCTTAGATAAGTTGGATGACAGTGTGCGCAAGTCCCACAAATGTTGCTGGCTTTGATAAGTTGGATGACAGTAAACACTGTTTATGAGTTGCACAGACACTAACATCACTAAGAGCCTCAACGTGATAGCTTGTTATGGTCTTATGAGTGCTGGCATGAGCAAGTTTACATGTAGTGTAATTGTGGAGTACGCAACTCACACATAAGGCCTTGCTTACTTGTTTGCTACAAAACAAAATAATTTTTGAGAATATCTCCTTTTAAGAAGTACCTTCATATACTATTTAGAAGTACCTTCATGTACTATTTAATACATTACGGTTTACCTGATCTGCTCTTCTGACCTTGTGTAAATAAACTAAATGGTGGTCGGTATTGGTGGTATGTTGTGTGCTATTCTCTAGTCACACTATTGCTACCATTATAAGGACGTTATTAGATATAATCAGAAAAATTTATTGGAGGTATCCAAATGATATTTTTGTCTACTTGTTTTTTTGTTTGTTTTTTTACTTTTAGACATTAACGCTCTTTTTACACATTTAATGTCTGTCACTGCTTACTACAAACATATAAATATATATGTCTTGGCAGTTATATGCATTGTGTAGTAATTCAGTCCAATTATGTGCCCAACGTAGGGTAGCAAAATATCTTCAAAACAAAATTAATAGTACTGCCAAACCTGTTTGCACTTGTATGTTGTAGAAAATATATAATGAAATACACAGTTACAAATTAAAAGTTAAGCATAGAAATCTGACATATTTATCACAGCATTTGAAATTTGACCTAAGTATTTAAATGTCTTGGTAGATGCCATGATACCTAATTAGGAAAGCGCTTTGAGTGAGAATATTGTGTAGATTCCAAACGTGCATTCTCATATAAGAATACATGTAGTATTGGACCCATAACATTTTATTTTAGGTATATTAGCACCATTGTTGATACATTAAAACTTTGCATAGTTGTTACTTTTATTAGTATAAGTAATTAATAGGTATTAATACATTAAAATCTTACAATATTCCTTATAAGTTTAAAAATATATATTGGATGTTACTCTTTTCTGTTGGGCTTAAAATATTAATATGGTTATTGATCTTATTTGTACAATTACACCAAAGAGATATGTTCTTTACAAAGCTAAACTTTCTCTGGATCTGGATTTAAAAGTCAGGCGACTGTAGGCACAGAATTCTAAGGCATACCCTGTTCCCCAAACCCAATAAAATACATATGAATAAGTATAATGGATTTATTAACTGGACATTGCAGGCCTAAAAACATTAAAAAATCATATGCATATTTGAAAACTTTATATATATATATATATATATAGATAAAATTCTTATCTTGTAATACCTTTAAATATATATATTTCTGCTTGTAATGTATTGGAACCTGTGAGTGTATGCAGCTATGTAAATGCACGCAGGGCTCAAGATAATGTTAGAAGTGGTTTATTGTTATTTGTTTAATATTTTCAAAAATTCTTTAATAAAAAATGATTTGAATAGATGTGGTTATGTAAAGGGGATTAACATCAGAGTGAGATTATATAGGGTGTTTAGTGTTTATAAGATCAACATCTTAAAGGGCAATTGGTATTGCGGTTGTTTAAGGACTATTGGGTTTAGAGATGGGTAAAACTTTGTGTTTGGGCACATGATGTGTTTCAGTATACGTTAAACACAGGAATAAGGTAATAGGTTTATTTCAAAGTTTAGGCTTTCAATGCTGGAATTTGCAGGGTTAGCTTAAATTTCTCACTTCCTATGCATTTTGTGGCCCTTTCAGATTGATGATATTAAAACTGCAAGAGGTTTTGTACAGAATGTATCACTCATAGCTTCCCATGCTCCTCCTGCAATGCATTTCCTGTGTGAGAGGTTACTAGAGGGCAGATGGGAAGTGATTCATTCCACTTCCTGTCCAGCCTCACACACAGACAGTGGATGAGCTGAGACAGCATTAAGTTTTACACCTGCAGCTCTGCTATTAAGGTGGATGGAACTAAAAAGGACACTGACCCGGGCTTTGGTGCTTATCTCTCCCCACTAGCCTATTTATACTCAAAAGGCACATTAAAAGTGTTCAAAACAGCTCCCCAGTAGATTGGTAACTATAGAGAGGAGCCCTGACTGGCTTACAAAAAGACTACTATTTAAACTAATGCACATTTGCTTAAGGTAAAACTAATGTAATGGCTATGGGCTATATAATGTTTAAATGTTACATACTAGCATTTAAAAGTATGTTAAATATTATAACACCATTGACAAAACTTTAGAGTCTGTTCTCTAATTTGTCTTGTAAATCAAATGGTTTGGCAAAATTGTCCCTAAAGTATATTCTTCCAAAAAATGAAAATAAAAAATGTTTTTAAATATCATATATTTTGCTAAAAACTAGAAAAATCCTTTTCAATTCATGCCAATGAATGCCAAATGGATGGATGTTTCTTGAAGCAAAAATGCAAATGCAGATTCATTACAAAAGCCAGATTTGTCCAATATACATAGGATGGTGACAAAGCACCCAAGAATACACGACAGCTAGAGTAAAAATGTATACCGTAATCTGATTTAACATTAAAGGTGGGACATAAGTAGTCTATGTGAGTCTGTATTGAGTGGATGTTTGACCCAAGAAGCAGAATTGATATTGGTAAAGTAAATAAGTGAATCTATGCACAGGTCCCTTTTTCTTATCAACTGAGATTAGGTGAGTAGGAAAGGAGGGAACATAACTATTTACATAGGTAGATAGTAGGGGGTATAAGGAAAGGAAAAAGGGTAACATTAGCAGAGTATAAGAAGGTGGTGGAGGGAGAAGAGAGATGTCTCAGCCTTCCAACTAGGACCTTTATCAGTATTTCTTTGAGATGGTAACCTTGATGTGCGTATCGTGTTTACATCTAGAATCACTGATGAGAGTGTTTTACTTCTCTCAGATGTTTATACTCACACACACTTCGAGAACACTTGCAATATTTTTGACACTCACACTTTACTTGCATGAGAAATGGCTATAGTCCTGACAGCTAAGGAACATCAGAATCCTAGAAAAGTTAATTCATGTGACAGTTCTTTGAGGGAAGCAAAAATTCTTGGCCCCTCATAGGGTTTACTTAAATTCTGCTAGCATTCCAGATTTTTCTTTATCAACAGTTACATAGTAATATATGTATAATTATAACTTATATTCCTTAACCTAAATATTTCATATATTTCGGTTTCTGCTGTTGACCAAAAAAAAAAAAAAGAGGAAAGAAAAGAAAATACATCCAATGGGACTTCAAATGAGCAATCAGATTAATCCGATTTCTCCTTGGATCAATTAGCTGTAAATATCACCCATTTTAAGTACAGCCATAAAAATGGTTCAGAAGATATGGCATTGGATATTTGCTGTAAAGAATTAATTAAAAGCAGGAAAGCAGAATCGTGCTGGCCCACAGAGATACTGAGAGATTTTTCAGTGGGCCCCTCAAGCTTGGGGTCAGCAAAAGAACCTTTCGGTTTGGATTAAAAATAATTTATTTGGCCATTGAGTAAAGTGGGGTGTCTATTTATTGATAGGTACAAGGAGCAGTGACAATCCATCACTGCTTCTCACTGTGCTCAGTTCTGGCAGTACACGTGGATCAGCTACAAACTTTAAAGGATACCTACAACTTTTAAAAGAGCATATAATTTAATCTATACATTGTGCTAGAAAGTGTACAGTTTAGGAAAAACTATTACAAATATAAATTTCTCCCACCTATCAGTCAATTCAAAACTGACTTTCAAGAGATAGCAGAAGAGACTTCCCAATGGTGATCCTTCTGCTCTCCACACATAGCAACCATAGTGAATGCGCGGTAGTTGCTATGGTAACACTCTAGTGGATGCTGCTAAAGCTGACCTGTAAGTACAGTAACAGAGTGCTTGACATCCCTCAGTTCAGACATCCCTGTACTGTTAAGAAAGTCAGGTTGTCGGCAATACAGAGGAGGTTTGCCTTGCTTGAAACAGACCACTTTACCCCCTTTGACAGCCCAGGTGGGACTCCAAATGTCTGTTAGTAAGGAGGAGCTTAAATAGGAATGTGCTGTGTCTTTGTGTGTTAGTAAGTATATGTGCTGCTGTGTGCTTCCAAGTTTGTTAATGTCTATGTGTGGATCAGTGAGTGTATGAGTCAGTGAGTGTGTATGAGTTGGTGAGTGTGTGCGTGCCACTGAGTGTAAGTGTGTAATGGTCAGTGAGTGTGTGAATGTGTGCGTGTTTGTATGTAGGTAAGTGAACCTGTGTTTGTGAATGTTACTGAACATGTGTGGATCAATGACTACATACTTTCCTCAGATCATTTGCTACATATTGTAGAAAATATTTACTTAATTATTATGATCTCTTCATTACATAGAAACACTTAAATTAATAATATATATAATATATATATATATATATACATATATATATATAATTTCTAAGCAATTATTTGTATGTAAAGTTTTATACTTAAGATTTGTAAATCTCAATATAGAGCACATACATTAATATATTAGTATAGTACACATATATTAATACATGCATTAATATGTATATGAATTCATAATGCCACTCAGAAATCACATACACAAAAGATTTAATGACACCTTTGTATTCCTACGAATTGTAGCAAATTAAAATCCAAATGGTATAATTAGAATTTAGGTCAAATAGTGAAGCTAATAGCCAATGTGAAGGAATTTAGAATAAACAATCAAGGTTTCAGCATAATTTTTAAAAAGTCCTATGCATTCACTTCTTCACATTGGAGAAGTCATTTTACATTCTCTGTTTCTACCTTTCATGTAAATCAGCTCATATGCTGATGGGATACATTATAGGACACAACGCCCTGATGAATACATCCAGTAACTTTATGTTTTGGCCCATGAAAGTCCATTCCTCCTAATAAGCAATCTCACAGGAAGGTGGCAGAAGTGTGGGGGCAATAATGGCTACCTGCTACTTGCTTTCCAGTTACACTGCCCCCCATTAAAAGGTTGTATTTAAATATTAGGATGTACATGACAATCCTGTTTATTTCTCATCTTCCTACCTCCTGTGTTGGGAAGGATAACATTCTAAAGAAACACAATGTCTCGAGCTATGTGACATTTTTTTTTTTGCTAATATATTTTTGCTTTACTATTGTATTTATTCCTTAAGAATTCAGTAAAACATCAGAAAATGGTCTTTTTGTATTTAAAATTTTCCCCAAGTAGAATATTTGATTTGTCAATCTTCTTAAATATGCATCATATTAACTTAGACAATTTGTTTTTTAGAATAGGTAGCACACACTACAGAACTGAACAAAACCACTACAGAACATTGCTGTATTATGCAGATGTTAAATATTAGGGGAAAAATTCTGCTATAAGCAAATTGAAGTTTAAGTTTTTTTTTAAAATTATTATTATTATTATTATTTTTTACTAAACTTTTTTCCTTTAAGAGAAAGTTTTTGAACTTTCATTTGAATATATATAAACAGAGTGATATATGATACTTTTTACTTGTATAATTATGATTACAATTATTTATACATCATCAATATATTCTGCACCGCTGTACAGTAGGTAAACCAGAAAACTTTTAAATCTAAAAAAACCCATATGGCATATGAGAACAGTAGATGAAGAGCTTGCATTCTAAAGGACATAGTTTTCCATTATTAACATTTGACATTTGTATTTATATAAAGTATAAGTACACTAGATGAGATAATTTCAATTTTAAGATTGAATAGAATAAAGACTTAAGAAAATAAAAAAGTTACTCTATGCAAAACTATATTAGATAGGTGAAAGTGAGTCATATGCCTCAAAAAAATTAAAACAGAAAATATTGCTGAATTTGATGCAAAAAGCAGTTGAATTGTGGTGGCACCCATCTAAATAACAAATACATTTTACTATAATTTGCCCATCAATTCTTGTAAAACCATCCAATTAAGAGGACAAATGAAACATAAATCACACAATTGATAGTTTTTCTTATATATTACTATGTTTTAATTTGCATCACAACAGTTAATCCATTTGCTTTTAAATATTATGAATGAAAGGTCAATGATAACTCTGTTTCAAAAATCAATGCTAAGCAATTTATGATATTTGGAGCTTAGGGGGAATAACAAAATCATTACTTTTAGAATATTTTCGTCAGACTAGTTAATTAGTTTTTGTACAATACATTTTTGAAGTGAAAGGTTTTGATAAATATTCGCTATATTGACAAGTGTTAATCACGAGCACTCAGGAATAAAAAAAAAAGAAATAAATGTCCATCATGAATGTATTGTTTATCTCAATTTCAAAGAAAGTGCTCGCTATTTTATTTTAATATCTGCGTCTGTTACCAATAGGGGAAGGACCACCAAAGCCTTAAAAAGTGCATTTAGATGGAATTTTGAGTGATTTAAAAGTCATAATTATGTCACTACTTAAGCAATTTCCACAAATATAGCATATTCTTTTTTGAAGTGTTACTAAAATACTTCTGAGCCAACTACAGGGGATATATATCAAGTTTCCAGAATATTTTGCTGAAGAAAAAACTATGCTGCATTGAAATAAACGTTATTAAATATTTTAAAAAGCAATACATTTTTATACTTTGATAAAAATGTGTGTAGTATATTTTCACCAATCTTACTTCAGAGTCACACCTTTTGAGCTTTTATTATAATTTAATATGAAAAGATCACTTGCCACCTTGCTGAATATTTAGCACTTGAACAAAATATTTTATAGCAGACTCAGCAGACAGTTACCATCAACTGGGGCTTTTTGTTAGTATTTTGGCAAGCCGAATAGCTGGCATGCCAATATATTCTAATGTATTTTAAGATGTCTGAAATGCTCCAACATAAATATAAACCAGTTGTGTATAATGAAAAGTTATGACGTTAAAAAATGTAGAAAGCAGTAAACGAAGCAAACAAAATTACTAATGGCTATAATGGCTATAGCATTGCAGTTATGTATCCTTAAATGTGAAATCCTATTTTCCCTCGTTAAGCCGCAAAATATACAAAAAGCACATTTGCAATATCCTATTTATGCTGTTATAGTGGTTTCAGAATATTACTTTTTAATGTAGAAAAAATCAAATGCATTTGTCCTAATCCTGTCTGATATATGAACTGCAATAGACACACAAAATTTAGGCCAATATATGCAGTTGTAAATGTTGAAATATACTGGTAACTACTATTCAAGCGCACATAAATAGAAGTCTTTGTATTGTTTTTAGAACGTGCTTGTTTTCTAAACATTACATTTTGCGTGGATATGTTTGTGGTTTTATAATTTTTTTTTAAATTAGTACAAATGTAAATGTATCTAGAGTGTGCAGAACAAGATAGATTTCCTCCTATGTATAATCATTTAGGAAGGATTTTGAGCTTTCATTATTGTCACCTTATAGAAACCTGGGATACATAACAATATACTGCTATTTGTAACAAATCATTTTTTTTCCCCCTCAAAATGTAATCCTGTTGAATAAGAAAAATAATACTTTTACAAAATGATTGTGTATGTGTGTATAGTACGGATATTTTCTTTATAAAATAAGAAAAGCATCTTCAACTCCAGTTTTTATATTGTATCAAAACTGGTAATTATTTTCAATTGGGTGCAGCAGTCCATGTATTGTACCCAGAGATGCTGGACATTTGGAGAAGACCCTCTTGATTCATTGGTGTGAGTTGATGAGATATTAAATAAGAAACAACCTATGACTGCATGTCTCTATAGAAAACTGAGATCCGTATCTAATGTGTGTTTTATCTTCCTAGGTCCAAGCTCAGTTACAGTTGGAAGGTGTTGCCCATGCACATCCTCATCTTCATCCACATCTTGCTGCCCATGCTCCCTACCTGATGTTTCCACCCCCACCTTTTGGACTTCCAATTGCCTCTCTGGCAGACACAGCGTCTGCTGCAGCTGTAGTAGCGGCCGCAGCTAAAAGCAACAGCAAAAACTCCAGTATTGCTGACTTACGACTCAAAGCCAGGAAACATGCTGAGGCTTTGGGACTTTGACAATTTGGTCACTGCAAACTGAATTCCTTATTTCCTTTTCCAGCTCTATGAGACTCTACAGGCACCAAATGTGTTGGTAAAATACTTTTAAAGAATATAAAAAAACATTACAAATTATTAATGGGCCTACACCCGTTTGTCATGAAGATCCATAAAATGAATGGAAGAGTCTTTCATTAAAGGCACCGTTTGGGTCAGTTCATTGAACTGAAGTTAAACTTGAAGTTAACAATTCTGTTTTTTTTTGTATCTTTATGGCCACACTGATTATGGACTTAAATAATACAAAAACAATTAAATGAAAGAAAAAGACAATCCTTATATCACTTGGACTAACATCAAGATGAAGAGGATGGTGAAGTTGAGAAGAAACTAGCTTTTTTTGATCCATAAAATAAAGCTAACATGACGTGACATCGTCTGCTTTCAGATTTGCTAAGATTTAGCTGTGCATGTGTCTAAGCAAACCAATTTGGAAATCACATAACTTTATAAATATATAGTAGATAACAAATCACTGGGGCTGGTCTCCGTTAAACTAGCATTTCTTTGTTGCCTAAGGTATGATTTCACTTCCATGAAAATCTTCTCTCAATGATGCAGAAACAGTCTCTCTCTACACAACGGAGATACGTGAAAAATTCTGTATTATGCTAAATGACCCACTTGCGAAAGCAGGCAGCAATAATTCTTTGTTTTTTTTTTCTTTTGTCTCCAATGGTCACATTTAAAAAAAAAAAGAAAAAAGAAAAAATACAGTATAGACCTTTTATTGATTATAATCTCTGGAAGAAAAATTAAAGGCATTTTCATAGCGACAATGAACTATTTAATATAATGTTATGCCATACACCTTGTGCTATTGTTTGTTAACACACATCATACCCAAAATACAAAATGGTAGATTTGGAAACCCTTGCAATATTAACTTATTGGTATGAGAAAGAAACTGGACCACTGGTGTCAAGAAATAATATTGATGCAGCACCAATTTTAGTGAAATGCAATTAAGTGCTGTAAAGTGCAATACTGTAAATATTATAGTTTTAAAGATTGAGATGAATCATTCAGATGTTGATACGTAAGCTTGTGTTCACCAAGGAATAGCCTTCTGAGCTTAACCTCGAGTGATGCAGTTCATTGCCAAAATGAGTGTAACTCATAGAAATGGATTAAATAATATTATGTCTCCATTGAATAAAGACAGATGCCATGGATTTATAATGCAGTCAAGGTGCCATATTATTCAAAATTAAGCTAAAAATCTGGCATGCTGGTCTTTTTCAATTTGCCAAGATGTTTTTAAATAAAGCAAAAAAATAAATAAAAATAAAAATAAAATAGCATCAAATTATTTTGAGGTGGACAATGCAGAAAGAGACCCTTGTTTGAAAATGCTGGTTGCAGTAAGCGTCATAGAAAATAAGGAATTTTTGTTTAAACAAATACCAAAGTGAAGTGTTTAAATTTTGTTTTTGTATTTTTTTTAAATTTTATTTCTTCATGGCTCTTTTTTTGTTCATTTTTGTTTTTAAGAACATACTATGATTTCCTTATTGGTATTCCAACATTGGTCCTGTTTACCTCTAAAAACACAAGTAATACAGAATGCAAATATCAAGTAATCACTGTCATTACTTTACAATTTGTGTTCATTGCATTCGACAGAGACATACCATTCTTTTTTTTTCTTTGTAATATATGTGGATGTTTTATTTATTATTGTGTTTGAAATTTTATAAATGTGTAATATTATTATGTTGAGTGTAAATTTTACAATGCTTTGCATTTATTTTTATATTTTAAAAACCGTTGCTTTTGCAATATGTTGCGGGTTGTGAGCCTGATTTGCAGTTTTTTTTCTTTTTTTTTCCGTACACTCATACAGATATAGCCCATGTTACTGTACCGTGTCATATAGTCTGACGCATCAAAAATGTCATTTTACATAGCATGCATTGCATTTTGGTGCAGTAGCAATTGCACAATGGATTGCAACTACCTATTCACTGTTAATAGCTTATTCATGTCATATGAAGTGGGACAATAACTTGGGCTACATATGTATAAATAGTGTGTCTGAATTACCAGACATTTCAGGGATCACAGATATGAAGAATTATAGCCTGTTAAAAACCAACTGTTCTTAAATGTTTCACCCCATTTTCATATTGCAATTCTCTATTAGTTTTCATTACCAAATTGCCATACCAGCATGCTTCCAGTCAGATTCACAAAACATGTTCCATTCAGTTTGAGAGAGGATTTTGTTAATCAAACAGTATGACTGTACATCTCGTACAACAAGTGGAATATTAATAAACTTATAAATATTTACATTTTTGAGTTAACAAATGTCTAAGAAAACATATTCAAATATTTAATTGTATGTAGAAATATTTGTGAGTGAAATAATTGAAATTGGAATATATTACTATTTTAGGTGAAATCAAATTGGGTCTGTCTCTGTCTGCCTATACATATCCTCACCTCCGACGTGTGTCTTTTTGTCTGTTAGTCTTCATCCTTGTCCCCATCTCCCTGCTATTTGCTCTCTATGTGTTAACGCCCAATATTTAAAATAGAGAACAATTAACACAAAGTCAAATGAATAAATATAACACACTCACAAGCATTTATAGGTGAATTCAGAGCACATTTATGGTTATTTGTATGATAAGTAAACATTTTATAACCTATCTGTCTGTCTATCTATCTATCTATCTATCTATCTATCTATCTCTTGCTCTCTCAGTGACTAAAAAAGTAGTCCTTTATAATGTCTCTTGTGAATTTCAATGAGATGCCAGTACTAGCGATGAGCACTCCCCAGAATATAGCTGTATATAGTGTATATGAAATCCTGTCTGTATGTCTATCAACCCACGTAAGAAAATCTAAGGGCATTTATATACAGGTCAGTAAGTTCCCAATGTGGATTTTAAACCACAAAAATATACATTATAATAAATGCATGTATAATGCATAGACATACGCTGAAGGACAGAGGAAAGCTGTGAGAATGATATTCAGTTATATACATATTTATGAATAAAAAATGTAGGGTCTTTAAATAAGCAGACACAATAACAGAGAATATTGGTGCAGTGCTAAATACCTCAATTTTGTAATTATTTGCGTGAACATCTTTTTTTCTTCTTAGTACAAACCCAGCATTTGCAATGACTTCGTCAACCTTTTCACTAATAATGCCATAAGGTGATCAGGGTGACACTAAGCAACCTTGTGCCAGTGTTCCATAAAAATAGCTGGAGAGTTAAACAACACTAACTCCCCTGCCACAGAGCCTTCTGAAAATGCAAAACATCTGTGTCGCATTTAGCCTCTGCAAGCCTGAGAAGCAAATATTCTAGACCATTCATTAACCTATCAATCCCCTAAGGTACTGCCCTTGGGTCAGCCAAATACATTATTTTATTTCCTGGATGCAGCAAGTGGATGTAAGTATGGTTAATATGTTTACAAGCAGATTTCAGCTGTCGAATATTTAGTAAAATGTTCTATCCATATGAACTGATATTAATTCTTACGGTCTCCAGAGATTGCGATTGAATGTTAATGTTAATGTCGCATTTTTAATAACTGTTGAGGGACACATTTATAAACATGAAATACAAAAATCTCATTTACTGTAAATGACTAGATGAAAACAACAGCAAAATAAGAAACAACACATTTCATATTTATGATGGTAAGAATGCATATTTCGTTTAATCTGAAGAATCAAATGATCTTCATTTGGCCAAATTTAGACACTATTCTCTTGACTATGATATTTTAACCTCAGAGAAAAAAACACAATCGTTAATCGATTTTTTTTCTGTTTTATTGGTTGCATATGTCAAAAAGGAAATAAATAAACATAATAGAATCTTGCAGTGATCTATCTCAGCAAAGGACATTCATAATCACAAAGTTATATTTGCATTCTGCATTAAAATCTGACTTTTCTAATTTGTTCAATTGAGAACAACAGAAATCATGAATTACCCAGAATCTATCTCAAATAAAGATCATAAAAAATAAAAGATTGTGTTATGTTTGATAAATGATTATTGCCCCAACCAATGCCATCTTCCAAATGAAAATAGTGAAGGTGTAAATGGCCCGTTGAGAGGGAAAGCAAACATGTCCCTTAAATGTGTGAACATAACATATTTAAAACACTTTTCATGGAGACGCCCAAATGTTGACATTGTTTAGAAGTTTTTGAAAAATTCACATATTTACACATACACCATGTTTTACTTGTTACATTTAATATTTGAATTCTAATTATGATTTTATATGAACTTTGGTCACATTTATCATTATCACCATCATCAATTATTTCCGCAACATTAAAAGAACAGTATTTTTATTATTATTTAATAATTTTCAATTTAAAGGATAGAAATAAATATGAAATTTTGATGTCTAGCCATTACTTCAAGGGCACCATCTTATAATTCCTTCACTTGTTTAATAGGCTTCCATATTTTAATAATGGGATAAGATGAAAGCGGCAGGATTTGGTGATAGATTGAACATGAGGCGTGAAGGAGAGGTCAGAGTCAAAGAGAACACCTAGGCAGCAAGCCTGCGTGGTGGAGCTGAGGGTAGCACCGTTGACTTGGAGGGAGACAGACACAGGAGTAGCAACACTTGAGGGAGGAAAGATCAGAATTTCAGTTTTGGTCAAGTTGAGTTTAAGGAAATGGGCAGCCATCCAGTTAGAAATAGCAGAGAGGCAGTCAGAGACACTAGTTAAGAGGGACGGGAGAGATCAGGAGAGGACAGATTTGCGTGTCATCTGTATAGAAATGATATTGGAAGCCAAAGGAGCTAATGAGTTTACCAAGGGAGGCAGTATAGATGGAGAACAGTAGGGGACCAAGGCCTGAACCTTGGGGGACACCAACAGAGAGGAGTTGGGGAGAAGAAGCAGAGCCAGAAAAAGAAACACTGAAAGAGCGCTGGGAGAGGTAGGAGAAGCACCAGGAGAGAGCCATAGCTTGTAGACCGATTTTGTGGAGGATGAGAAGAAGCTGGAGGATGAGAGAAGATCAACAGTGTCAAAAGCCTCAGAAAGGTCAAGGAGAATTAGGAGAGAGTAGTGACCACGAGATTTTGTAGCATCAATCCAATTGCACCCCAAAACAAGGACAAAATGTGCCTGTAGCAAGTGCATTAAAAAATGATAAGCTTAGAGTCATGTCTACAAATGCTCGCAGTTTAGAAAATAAGATCCATGAACGTGTGGCAATAATGGCAACTGATAATGTAGAGATAGTCACTGTTACTGAGACATGGTATAATGTGAAAAATAACTGGGATACAAGGGTAAATTTTATATAGAAAAGACAGGGAAGGCAAAAAAAGGGGGAGGGGTGGCCCTCTATGTGAAGGATAACATAAAATCTAGCCTAATAAAAGTTAGTGAGGAGAACATAGAGTCCGTTTGGGTTTACGTTAGAATTTGGTAATCACACAGTAACACGTATAGGTGTGATTTATAGGCACCCAGGACAAATAGAAGAGTTAGATAATCTTCTAGTTGAGGAAATAGCTAAAATGACAATGAAGTGGAAAGTTATCACAATGTGTGACTTTAATCTTCCTGATGTGAACTGGAAAACCAAAATAGCTGTTTGTGCCTGGAGCACACATATTCTAAACTCCCTACTGGGATTGTCTCTAAAACAAGTTGTTGAGGAGCCAACTCGTAAAGAGGCCATACTAGATTTAGTGTTAACAAATGGAGATTTCGAATCAGATATTACTGTAGGTGAAAGTTTAGGATCCAGTGATCATCAGTCAGTGTGGTTTAATATAAGAACAGTGACTGAGTAACACCACACAAAAACAAAAGTTTTAGATTTTATAAAGACAGACTTTTCTAAAATTAGAATATGTGTAAAGGAGTCATTATCAGATGGGAACAGTTTAAATGGAGTTCAAGAGAAATGTGATTATTTAATAGTTGCACTGCTGAAGGCAATAAAAAATTGCATTAGGTTTGTCAGTAAAAAAGCAAATAATTGAAGAAACCACTGTGGTACTCCATAGAAGTGGCCAAAATAGTAAAAAACTAAAAGTAAGCATTTCGTCATTTGAAAAAAACCTAGAGTGAGGAAGATATACAGATCTATAAGATTAGGCAGAACGAGGCTAAGCAAGTTGTAAGACCTTTAAATCACACACAGAAGAGAAAATAGCACAGTCAGTAAACAAATGGGACAAAACACTTTTTAGATATATAAATTAGAAAAGAAGAGTACAACAAGGATTAGTTAGGCTAGAAACAAAAGAAGGAAGGTATGTAGAAGAGGATAAAGGTCTAGCTGACTGCCTCAATGGATATTTTGTTCAGTATTTACAGATGAAAATGAAGGAAATAGACCTCAGTTAGGAAAAATGACAAATTAGTCATTTGTTACATGTGAGTTTAGAGAGATTCTATTTCAACTGTCAAAAGTAAAGACAAATAAGTCAATGGGGCCTGATAGAATACATCAAAAGTTATTAAAAGAGCTTAGTGGTATACTAGCAAAACCATTAGCAGATTTATTTAACCAATCAATGTAAACAGGAGTAGACCCAGAAGACTGGAAGTTAGTGAATGTTGTGCCCATTCACAAGAAAGGTAGTAGGAAGGAGTTGGGCAACTATAAGTCAGTAAGCCTTACTTCAGTAGTGGGAAAAGTAATGGAAACCATGTTAAAGGATAGGATTGTTGAACATCTAAAATCACATGGATGTCAAGATCAGAGACAACATGGGTTTACTTCAGGGAGATCATGCCAAACTAATCTCATTGATTTTTTTGATTGGGTAACTAAAATAATAGATCAGGGTGGTGCAGTAGACATTGCTTACCTAGATTTCAGTAAGGCTTTTGACACTGTTGCACATAGAAGGCTTATCAATAAACTGCAATCTTTAAGTTTGGATTTCAATATTGTTGTATGGGTAGGGCAGTGGCTGAGTGACAGGCAACAGAGGGTTGTAGTCAATGGAGTATATTCAAAGCATGGTCTTGTCACCAGTGGGGTACCGCAGGGATCTGTACTTGGACCCATTCTCTTTAATATTTCTTTTAGTGATGTTGTAGAAGGTCTTGATGGTAAGGTATGTCTTTTTGCTGATGATACTAAGATATGTAACAGGGTTGATGTTTCAGGAGGGATAAGCCAAATGGCAAATGATTTAGGTAAACTAGAAAAATGGCCAGAGTTGTGGCAGCTGACGTAGATAAGTGCAAGATAATGCATCTTGGATGTAAAAACCCAAGGGCAGAATACAGAATATTTGAGAGAGTTCTATCCTCAACATCTGAGGAAAGGGATTTAGAGGTAATTATTTCAGATGACTTAAAGGTAGGCAGACAATTGTAAAAGAGCAGCAGGAAATGCTAGCAGAATGCTTGGTTGTATAAGAAGAGGTATTAGCAGTAGAAAGAGGGAAGTGCTCATGCCATTGTATAGAACACTGGTGAGACCTCCCTTGGAGTATTGTACACAGTACTGGAGACTGTATCTCCAGAAGGATATTGATACTTTCTAAAGAGTTCAGAGAAGGGCTACTAAACTGGTTCATGGATTGCAGGATAAAACTTACAACAAAAGGTTAAAGGATCTTAACATGTATAGTTTGGAGGAAAGACGAGACGGAGGGAATATGATAGAAACATTTATATACAAAAAGGGAATCAACACAGTAAAGGAGGAGACTATATTTAAAAGAAGAAAAACGACCACAACAAGAGGACATAGTCCTAAATAAGTGGGGCAAAGGTTTAAAAACAATATCAGGAAGTATTACATTACTGAGAGGGTATTGCAGGGGTAGGCAACCTTTGAGCAGCACTGTGCCGATATAGGTCCTATTTTTTTAAATTGAGGTGTGTATGCTGCCGTATTCTGCTTGTGTTATTTATACTGTTATTGCTTTGTATCATTGTATTTGTGCGTATATGAGCTATTATATTGTATATGTTCAGGAGTAGTTTGTGTATGATACATATGAATGTGGGCTGTGTATGGGGGCTGCTTGTGGAATTGTGTGTGTGGATGGATATGTCACGTTGTGTCTTTGGTAGTGTGTGTATGTGTGGGGGCTGTTTGGGGTATTGCATGTGAGAGACTGCATGTGGGACTGTGTGCATGTATGTGGATTGTTAGCAGGTTACGTTTCTGCGGATTGTGTGTATGTTTGTGGGCTGTTCGTATTATTTGTATGAGGGGAGGGTTATTGTGCATTTCTGTGTATATTTAGCATTGTGTGTGGCTTCTCTGGGTTCCAGTGGGGACCAGGCTGGCCAGGTACAGGCCAAGGACAGGAGCTGCAACAGCAGCTGCAGGCTGCTCTACTACAGTGTGGATTCCCATTCACAAGTGCTTGGAGGAAGTGATCTGAGATCACTTCCTCTATGTACTGCAATGCATAAATTGAGGATTGTCTTTCACCACCTTTTTGCATTAGCAGGTATCTGAAGTTTCACTGGGACTCCTGATAGGCCAGAGCCTGTTTGGCTCTAGCAGCCTTGAGTGCCGTGCAAAGACACCTTGAGTACCATGCATGGCACTAGTGCCATGGGTTGCCTACCCCTGGGGTAGTGGATGCATGGAATAGCCTTCCAGTTGAAGTGGTAGAGGTTAACACAGTAAAGGAGTTTAAGCATGCATGGGATAGGCATAAGGCTATCCTAACTATAAGATAAGGCCAGGGACTAATAAAAAAGTATTTATAAAATTGGGCAGACTAGATGGGCTGAATGGTTTTTATCTGCCGACATATTCTATGTTTCTATGTTTAAGTTCTGAAAGTGCCCAAGACTTTATCCACAGTGTTACTGGAAACTTTATCAGAATGCTGCCATGCTCTCCCCCTTCCCACCCCTCTCCCCCCCTCCATCACAG